ATTTGCAAGTAGAATTAGAAATTTTGATAGCAGTTTTCACACCAAAAAAAATTTTGTGACAATTTTAGTTTTAATTTTGGCTGTTCTTCACAGATCTCAATTCTATATTTTGATCAACATAACATTGAAGAACAATTATCTAAGGAAGAAATGATTTTGAAAAGGAATTGTTTTTTCATTTGAACATGATGGAATCCTCTATTTAATTCCCCTTGGCCAAAGACTACCTGAACAGACTGGAATAAAATAAGTTTATTTCTTGCTTGAGAAATTATTTCTTGCTTGAGAGGGAATATTATTCCATGTTGAACCCTGGGATCTATCAGTATGTGTTTTGTAGGATTTTGACTGTGGTTGAATGATTTCAAAGGGGGTCTAAGGAAGTAAGGTTTTTTCCTAATATTGAATAAAAAATTCATTCATTTATCAAGAAAGGGGGATGTTTGGTATTTTATGATTTCTACAATGATCTTTTTCTTTTTCATGTTTTGATGAAATTCTGAAGTGGTCTTGCTTTGTGTCATTTCATCATGGCCTCAAAATGAACCTTGTCTGAAACTTGTTTTCTCTAAGAATCTTTATGTACATTAGGAGAACAAATGGCCCTTTGGTGAGTGTCTGATTAGTTCTGGATATCAAGGGCTACTCTTTTTTTGTTTTCTTTCTTTATTTCTTTTCTCATCCATAAGCAATTAAATTGTCTTATAATGTATAATTAATTTGAGAAGGTGCTTTTTCTTTTCCCAGGCACTGTTGGCAGTGCTTTAATCATAAAGATAGGACAGTGTTCCATTTGGACAAGAAGCAAGAAACTTAGTTTATATATTGCAGCAATGCCATGATTAGCCTTGCGGACAACTTCTAATTTTTCAGTTGTTTCTTCACTTTGAAATAACCTTCTCCTCTGATGACCATCTTCTTGGAAGCCATTCTGACCTTGCCACTGGATTATTGTATTTATATTTTGGTTGGTCTCCTTTTTGCTCTTGTTCTGTTTCAGTGAGTGGCCTCTCTGCATAGAAGTCAAGAGTTACCTTTTCAAAGTATTAAATCATATCATAAAACTACACCATGAAGAACACATTGTCAATAACTACACATGCCCCAAATATCTTCCTGTGCCTTGCCAGACCCTATTTTTGCAGCCCTGCTTATATCTGTGACTTCATCTCGTCTTTCCATTTCACTTTACAGCCACTTACCTGACTGGATTTTTGTTACTAAACAATATCAGTTCATTCTTTGTTCTATTTTTCCCAACTTAGAATCAGCAATCTTTACAAGGTTGACTCTCGAGAGCTTTCTTGGGCTCCTGTTCTCCTGCTTCTTTTCTCTTTCTCTTCTTTTACTTTGTTTCTTTTCTCTTTCTTTAAAACCTTACTTCTAAAGTATTTTTTCTTTTCTATTCTTTAAAGTCTCTTTTGTTAGACTCGCAATGTCCCATGTTTCCTTTTAATCTCTCTTAAAGTCTTGGCCCTCAGACTTGCACTGTCCGATGTTTCCTCTAATCTCTAGCATAACTCAGCAGCAGCAACATCATTCTCACAAGCAGCCTGCCTATCAGTCCAATCCCCCATGGAAAAACCTATCAATCCCCCATCAAAAAAACTCACATCCTCCTTCAGCAAGTCTTTTCTATACAGTGGTAAACAAGGAGGTAGAACAAGAGTTCTTGGGGAGGGGCATGACATTGAACAAGAGAAACCTGCATTCCTACTTCTCTGAACTTAAGCAACTTAGGAAAAGCAGCTATGCTGCATTTTGCCTCTTGCTTTCTTCTGCAGCTGGAGCCATGCCAAACTCAGCTTGTAGATCACTGACTACAACTGTGATTATGTCAAGTTCTCACTGGCTTCTCATAATCTGCTCCCCACAGTTGACTCTTTATCCTTTAGTTCTTAGAGCTCACCTATTTCCCTTTTTCCATGCTATCACATCTAAATTAGACATTATCTTATTTTCTCTTCTATTCTTTGTAGTATTTGGAAGAGAGAGACAGAGGAAAGGACCAGGATTCCAAACTATCCTTCAAGGACATACCCCAGCAACCCAAAACTTCCATCTAGTCCCTGTCTTCCACCATTATACCACCTTCCATTAGTCTGTCTAATGCTATCTGGACACATCTTGAAAGAAGCACCCAGAAGTGTGCTTTTCTAATCTTCTTAAATCCTATCAAGTTGACAATCATGATTAACCAATTACATTGGTAATTTTTTTCAGTACTGAATGCCTAGCCCCCAATAAACATCCTGGCACAAAAAGTAATTAATAAATATCTTTTTAATGAATGATTACACTTATAAATGAAATAATGAACACAAAACCAAATGACTGAACATATATACTAGATATGAATAGGAAATGCTGACTATTAAGAGAAGTACTTGTTAATTTATTATTATAAGTACCTAGCAATGATACTTATAATTCAATAATAAATTAAATTTTCCTTTGGAAATATCCCTTGCAGTATTCAAACCAACTAAGTACTTGCTATAGATAAACAGATAGCTAGATAGATAGCTAGATAGCTAGATGATAGATAGATAGATAATAGATAGATGGATAGATAGATTTATTTCAGCATCTGTCTTCTAAGACTTTGACTTAGGTGGAATAGCATTATAATGATGTTTTCTTGATGCTTAATTAGGATTTGGATGCATTTCTCAGGAGTAATTTCAACATAAATCTAATTTCATTTACTAATCCTGTAATCAAAGCACAACTTTAGAGAAATGAAGTAGGTTGAAAACTAGCTTAAGTATTAAGAAGTTCCCTAGAGGCGTACTTTATTTTGAAGGGAGAAATAGTAGATATAAAATACATGCAGCATTTTATGTATTAAATTTGATAATAATTTTATCTTATTTTACTACTGTTTTCCTTATTTTTATTTCCTGGCATTTATTTAGTAGCTCAAGTTGATAATATTTTTTAATGTTTTATTTTTCAATATAAGGATACAATTTTATATGGATTCATAAAACCAAGGCCTAATTCATAATGTGTGGGTGTTGGTTTGCAGTAAAAGTAGACACATGGTAGGAGAATGTTGATTACAGGGTAGAAGTGGTTTGAAAATGTCCAACTTTGCATTGGAATTTCTGCTCTAATACTTTAGCATTGAGGCTTACGAGGACAGTACTGGAGTTTGAACACAGGCCCTTATGATTTCTAGACTATGTGATCAAGCACTTGAGCCATGCCCCTAGCCCTGTAGTTGGAAACAATAACAAAGGGCCTTTTTTCTTTTCTTTTTTTGGTGGCGGTACTGGGTTTGAACTCAGGGCCTTGTGATTGCTAAGCAGGTGCTCTACCACTAGAGTCACTTTAACTTGGCAACTTCTTTTGTGCTTTGAGTCTGTTTCCTCATCTGTAAAGCATAAGGTTTATGTACAGGTCTGTGTTGAGAGGTTTATGAGATGACGTGAAGTGTATGGCAAAGCATTTGGTATCAGATTTGTAAGAATTCAGTGGTTTTCCTCTGTTTTCCATCAGAAATGTAAGTTTCCAAATGTAAAATATTAGTGTTCTCTGTAGGCAATATAAGGACACAATATGTATTATAGTAAATATTATTTCAATATGTAGTAATTGATTATTGTAAATTGCCCAGAGTATCAGCCATAACATCAATGATAAGTCAGACACCTGTAATCCTAGCTACTAGGAGGCAGAGATCTGGAATCATGGTTTGAAGACAGACCCACAAATAGTTTACAAGACCCTATCTCAAAAAAATCATTACAAAAAAGGGCTGGTGGGGTAGCTCAAGTTATAGGCCCTGAGTTCAAACCTTAGTACTTCAAAAAAAAATCAATTATAAGAGGATGTATTTATTGACTATTTATCATGTTTTAGGTGCTTCATTAAATGTCGTATATATTAACTCACTTAATTCACCTCAAAAAGTCTAAGAGAGACGCTAATAATTTCCCATTTCACAGTTGAGTAAACAGAGGCATGGGAGTCTTAAATTACAGGAACATAGGCAAATCTAAGGTTGAAAGATTCTAGCCCTTTTTTCTGCCTTAAAAATTGCTATCTTGAAACCCCTTTTGTTCTTTAGCTATAGTCAAAAATCACCCAAATAAATATAGCTGTACACACAGAAAATCAGTCTTCTCATCTCCATCTTCCTGCTAGGTGAAGACTCAGGTTTCAGGAATCAACACCACATCTCCTTTTGGAGAGGGAACTAGTCGGTATTGAGAGACTTAGTCTATTGAGTGCTATACCTGTTTGAGAGCGATGCTGTGTGGGCAGTTACAGATGCTGTGTCTTTTGTTCTTTATAATATTGAGAAAATCATTATTATTTGAGGACAAAATAGTCTACAGAAAAAACATAATTTTCAATGTAGTATGTATGAAGAAAAACGTTCCCTGAAGTAAAGCATTGGTAAGAAGGGGATAAAAGAGCATTATATTTGAACAGACCATATGTACTTAACAATTTTAAGAAGAATAATGTTTTGTTTGCACATTTGGACACCTATTAAGCCTCTTGGTAGCTTTGATCTTGTTTAGGTTTTTTGTTTTTCATGTCCCAATCATCTGTGGCATTTATCACTTTTTTTCATACTTGAATGAAATCTTTATTTTAAGATCATTTCTTACTGTTTCTAGACAAGTAAGTAAAAAATAATTTCAGACCATGAAGATACCCTGTAGAAACTTGAAAGAACATGAAGTCTTTGTAGGTGATCTTAAGATAACATTGTTCTTGGCCTAGTGAAGAACTGTGTGTATATCAGCTTTGAGACATAATAATTACTTTAATTATTTTTAGGCTTTGATTATATTTAGGCTTTGATTTGTATTTAATCTTCTGGTTTGATGAAACATTAGAGTATAATGGAAATAAATTTTCCTTCTTAAAAATGTTTTATGAAAGTTTTTTTGCCTCCCTGTGGTACCTCCTGATGGATTGATATTATATCATGTATAATTGGGTTGATGCTCAGCCTGGATACTTCTTTTTCTTCTTGCCAGCATGGGGTAACCTTGGAAATGTTCTGAAGAGTCAGAGTAAAATTTCTGAAGCTGAAAACGCCTATCGAAATGCTTTGTACTACCGCAGCAACATGGCTGATATGCTTTATAATTTGTGAGTATGCCTTGCTTTCTGGTTTGGTTCACTTTTGAAACCTATCATGAGAGGGACTATTGATTTGACTACTGAAAATGGAGATGATGATAGCTGTTTTCCTGAAATAATCTTTTCATTAATCATGCTTCTGAGATTAGTGGGGCATATTTGTGATTTCTTTGCTTTGAACCACATCATCTGTATATCTGTGTATTGATGTATTATGGCTGAATTTTTTGAAGTAGTATACCATATTATAACATAAAAGTTGATTTCAGTGCTTTCAGTTTTTCAAAAACTATGATCCATTATGGTGGATGTGGAAGGCTCATAAAATAAGCCTTTATGTATGATATGTATATAATTGAGCATTGGTTCTTTTTAAAAAAGTTTTTATTAGTATATAATAGTTGTTTAGGAGAGTTTGTTGTGACAGTTCCACATTTGCATACAATGTACTCCAGTTTGGTTTATCCCCTCCATTATTCTCCTTCTCCTTAAAATGACTTCCACACGTTTAATATTCATACATGTATAGAAAATACATCAACCTTACTCAACCCTCCATTACCTTAATTTACCCTCCCCCTCCCACTAGTGCCTTCCCCTTAACATGACCTGTTTTCTATTCTTGTCTTTCTCTGTGTGCTCATTGTTCAATGGAGTTTTACCTTAGTATTTTACCTATCAATATATTGTGCCTTAATCAGTCTAACTTCTTCTGTTACCTTCGTTACCCTTTTCCTCCTACCCCATATTGTTTAAAGTTTTCACTGAGTTTCCTTGTGTCTTATTCTTATACAGATATGATGTATTTCAGTATTATTCACTGTCATTTTCTTATATACACTGGTTCTTAATACATGCATTCCTCATTAAAAATTGCTTGTGTTAATGGAGAAAAACTAAAACCATTCCCTCTAAAATCAGGAACCAGACAAGGATGCCCACTATCTCCACTCCTATTCAACATAGTACTGGAATTCCTAGCCAGAGCAATTAGGCAAGAAGAAGGAATAAAAGGAATACAAATAGGTAAAGAAACTGTCAAAATATCCCTATTTGCAGACGACATGATCCTATACCTTAAAGACCCAAAAAACTCTACTCAGAAGCTCCTAGACACCATCAATAGCTATAGCAAGGTAGCAGGATATAAAATCAACATAGAAAAATCATTAGCATTTCTATACACTAACAATGAGCAAACTGAAAAAGAATGTATGAAAACAATTCCATTTACAATAGCCTCAAAAAAAATCAAATACCTAGGTGTAAACCTAACAAAAGATGTGAAAGACCTCTACAAGGAAAACTATACACTTCTGAAGAAAGAGATTGAGGAAGACTATAGAAGTGGAGAGATCTCCCATGCTCATGGATTGGTAGAATCAACATAGTAAAAATGTCGATACTCCCCAAAGTAATCTACATGTTTAATGCAATTCCCATCAAAATTCCAATGACATTCATTAAAGAGATTGAAAAATCTACTGTTAAATTTATATGGAAACACAAGAGGCCACGAATAGCCAAGGCAATACTCAGTCAAAAGAACAATGCAGGAGGTATCACAATACCTGACTTCAAACTATATTACAAAGCAATAACAATAAAAACAGCATGGTACTGGCACAAAAAAAGACATGAAGACCAGTGGAACAGAATAGAGGACCCAGATATGAAGCCACACAACTATAAGCAACTTATCTTTGACAAAGGAGCTAAAAATATACTATGGAGAAATAGCAGCCTCTTCAACAAAAACTGCTGGGAAAACTGGTTAGCAGTCTGCAAAAAACTGAAACTAGATCCATGTATATCACCCTATACCAAGATTAACTCAAAATGGATCAAGGATCTTAATATCAGACCCCAAACTCTTAAGTTGATACAAGAAAGAGTAGGAAATACTCTGGAGTTAGTAGGTATAGGTAAGAACTTTCTCAATGAAACCCCAGCAGCACAGCAACTAAGAGATAGCATAGATAAATGGGACCTCATAAAACTAAAAAGCTTCTGTTCATCGAAAGAAATGGTCTCTAAACTGAAGAGAACACCCACAGAGTGGGAGAAAATATTTGCCAACTATACATCAGACAAAGGACTGATAACCAGAATATACAGGGAACTTAAAAAACTAAATTCTCCCAAAACTAATGAACCAATAAAGAAATGGGCACGTGAACTAAACAGAACTTTCTCAAAAGAAGAAATTCAAATGGCCAAAAAACACATGAAAAAATGCTTACCATCTCTAGCAATAAAGGAAATGCAAATTAAAACCACACTAAGATTCCACCTCACCCCTGTTAGAATAGCCATCATCAGCAACACCACCAACAACAGGTGTTGGCGAGGATGCAGGGAAAAAGGAACCCTCTTACACTGTTGGTGGGAATGTAGACTAGTACAACCACTCTGGAAAAAAATTTGGAGGCTACTTAAAAAGCTGGACATTGATCTACCATTTGATCCAGCAATACCACTCTTGGGGATATACCCAAAAGACTGTTACTCCAGAGGCACCTGCACATCCATGTTTATTGTGGCACTATTCACAATAGCCAAGTTATGGAAACAGCCAAGATGCCCCAGCACTGATGAATGGATTAAGAAAATGTGGTATCTATACACAATGGAATTTTATGCAGCCATGAAGAAAAACGAAATGTTATCATTCGCTGGTAAATGGATGGAATTGGAGAACATCATTCTGAGTGAGGTTAGCCTGGCCCAAAAGACCAAAAATCGTATGTTCTCCCTCATATGTGGACATTAGATCAAGGGCAAACACAAGGGGGTTGGACTTTGAGCACATGATAAAAGAGAGAGCACACAAGGAAGGGGTGAGGATAGGTAAGACACCTAAAAAACTAGCTAGCATTTGTTGCCCTTAATGCAGAGAAACTAAAGCAGATACCTTAAAGCAATTGAGGCCAATAGGAAAAGGGGAACAGGTACTAGAGAAAAGGTTAGATCAAAAAGAATTAACCTAGAAGGTAACACCCACGCACAGGAAATCAATGTGAGTCAATGCCCTGTATAGCTATCCTTATCTCAACCAGCAAAACCCCTTGTTCCTTCCTATTATTGCTTATACTCTCTCTACAACAAAATTAGAAATAAGGGCAAAATAGTTTCTGCTGGGTATTGAGTGGGGGGATAGGGAGGGTGCGGAGTGGGTGGTAAGGGAGGGGGTGGGGGCAGGGGGGAGAAATGAACCAAGCCTTGTATGCACATATGAATAATAAAAGAAAAATGAAAAAAAAATTGCTTGTGTTAAAGCATATAAAGAATGTGTGCTCAATCAGCAGAGTTAACAAGTATGATACTGATAGACGGGGAAAGCTTGCTCTTCTTCCACTGACTCATTCCCTTCCTCTTCAAATGTACCCCTGATTACCAGCAAGGTCTGAATAATGGGATAATTTAGAATATCCATGTGTGTTGAGTTAAAAATCCTGTGGGTTAATACTGGTTTTATTCTTTGAATGAAAAATTCTAGGAGGTGTTGTATGTTTTGACTTGGTAAATGCAAATTCAACTCAAACCCTTTCTTTGTCTTTTACATTTATGAGAAGATTTTGGTAGTCATAGAAATCTAGTTTAAACTTGCTTAAACACAAGGAAATTTTATTAACTCCCATAACTGGGAACTTTGGGTTGACTAGATGCAAGTGTAGTTAGATGCAGGTACTTGTTACGTTTGGCAATTTGTCTCTATGTTGTGGGTCTGGTTTCCTCTGGGTTTGCTCCTTTTCCAACTATAGGAATGGGAAATAAGATTTCTGTGTCTTTATGCATATAATAGCCTACTCTTCTCAATTTTTGGAAGGAAAGAGAATTCTTTTTTTTTTTTCTTGTCTTGTTGTCTACATACATCCTGGAAAAAGTTGTCCAAACGAGCCTTATGGGTTCATATGTGTTTTCTTGGATGAGATCGTGGGCAGTGTGAGGGAGACCCAGGAATAAATTCATTTACAGTTCTTTCAGAGTTGGCATGGAATGGATGAGGACCAGGTCTCTGTAGGAAATTGATCAGTCTCAGGTAAAATAAGGTGTTTTGTGTTTAAAGAATGTTGCACAATATTGACAAGTATCAAACAAATTCATGAACTTTAATTTTCTTTAAATTTTTTTATTGTTGTTCTGGGTGCAGGTACATTGTGGCATTTAGAAAGTTTCTTACAATGTATCAAATGTATCATACTTGAATTCACCCCCTCCAACACTGTCTTTCATCCCCCCTCCCCTGATTCCAGGAACAGTTTCAACATGTATCATTTTTACATTTACACACATGTGTATACATTATTTGCACCATATAATAAACTTTAACTTTTAACATGTATTTATGCTCCATCTACTCAAATGTTTTATATTGTCCTTTTCTAAATGTGTAGATATAAAATAAAGTTTTAAAAAATAAATGGAGAAAAATTTAGATATTTTAGAAAAAACAGAAGAGCTCAGTTTAATCTCCTGTTCAGACATTCACCTTATCTTTAACCTAGATTTTTTAACAGTAGAATCTCCATCTAATGCAGTATGGTGTTTTGTGTGACTTGCTCAGTGTTTAATTTCTCCTTTGTTACTTGGATTTCCTTCACTTGTAACACGCCCTCTCCACTTTACACTGTCTCTTCTCCACACATTTCTCTGAGTTTCATGCTTCACCAGATATTTTACCACCCTCTTTCTTAAAGCAATTTAAATTTGCCTCGTTTTATTTGCATGAAAATATTAAGATTTTCCTCTTTATCTTATTAAAATAGTTTTTATTTCATGAAAAAGGACCTGTTCATTTGACATACATTCTTTAACTGTTTTTGTATTCTTTAAATTTTTTTTGTATCCACAGGGTATCTGGCTTTGCAATGTGAGATAACCAGTTTTTTTCTAGTGTCCATTCTCTATACATTTGCGGGGCGGGGGGGGAGAGAAAGTAAGCTGAACAATCAACTCTTCTTCATTGAACTTATTTTCTCTCACTTATCCATAGTCACTGGTCACCA